GTTCCCCCTTGTCCCTACCCGACATGTTATAAGGTGTGCCTAACAACGTCGGTCGCACTCTAAAAAGCCCTATCTAAAAGATGGTGATATTAATTAGGTGACTATCAACACTGTGGGCACTGCCTACCCCTTTTGTACACCAAAAGGGTTGGGTGAAGTGCAACGGTGGCACCTTATTACGCGACTGGGCACAGGATGCTCGAAGCGCATAAAGTGCCAAGAATCACCTAGGGGCCGGTGACCTCGACGCCTCACGGAATCACGGGACTCAACGTTCGGCGGAGTATGTCGTACCGGCGGTCATTTACAGCCACTGCTAACTGCAAATAACGCACACCTAGGAGATCCTTGATTGATCAACGAATTGCAAGAAAACTCGTTTACTGAGCTACCCCAGAGCTATACGCGAAAGTGAGCCGCGCCATTTGTGCGCTTGCGCAACTCAATTACATCAATTTGTACTATCACTCTCTCAAGGTTTACTCAATAACTTTATTTGTATAAGACATACATTTATACAATTTACTTATAAAGATAGCACAAAAAATATCTATACTACGATATACATTACATTTTTATATCACAAAAAACCTTTTATTTATTTAACAAAATATGATTATTTTACTCACATGTTCAAAGTTGGAATTTCTTAAATATTTAACATAGAAAGTTAAAACAATGTTTTCCACTTGAAATTATACATATCTTAACCAATACAATAATTTAATTTACATTTTCTCTATACATTTCACTATTAAAACACTTTTAAATTTCTTATACAAAACTATCATTATTTCACTTATTCACAGGAATTTTCACATAAAAATAACACAGAATTCACCTCTTTTACACGTACAATCAATCTGAAATGTTTTACAAGTCATTTTTACATAAATTGCTGAAATTGCAAATATTTAAATTTCTACATATTTGGCCTCCTAAATACGTGGTTAGCGTGTGTCTATGAACTCACACTATTTTAACAACTAACTTTTGCACGGCTATCGACTATCAGTAAAAATGGAAAGTTTAGTATACACTAATATCAACAATACTAGGTGAATAAATGATTGTACTCAATTCTCACGTTGAACGTTGAAAACTACCCCTAATCAGATACTTATCAGTTATCATGTTTCTTATCAAACAATATAAGTGAATGTTTTCATAAATCGATCGTAGAAAATAGGCATTTGTTTTCATACAAAACATATCAAACTCATATAAGACAATACTTATGCAATCAATTTCCATTAATTCTACTTATGCACAGCGATCATCTCGACCGGGGAAACCTGGTCTCTAAATTTATTTTAATATTTATTTAAATTAACATTATTGGAAAGACGATTTCGACCGGGGAACAAATCCGGTAACATAATTTATATCTTAAAAATTCCCTATATGAATTTATTAAGAGATATTACTAAGAAAATGACAAACTAGTCCGGCCTGGGAGTCGAACCCAAGACCTTCATATCATTAATTCGATATTTCCTTAAGATTCAACTAAGCATTTTCTTATCGGAATATTGTTTCTTGATAATTTGCTTTTTAGAAGCTATTCGTAATCGGTTAACTAATAAATTGAAATATTCTTATAGGCGCGTCGCCAACAATCGGGCAGAGTCGTTGAAAATGTCAATGTCCGGTATCTTGTTCTTAATATCATTGTATGTGTTACACATTCTGGCTAGGGGATAATGCGCGCCTAAATTTGTTTTGTGGCAAGGTATGCTAAATAGTTTGCGAATTGGATATCAGGGATATCTGTACGGGATAATTAATTTGACGTTAATGAGGAGGTGCGTACTTTTGATTTTGTTATGCAGTAACTTGTGTAGAAACATTAAGTCTGCAATGAGACGTCGGTCACGTAAGGTTGTCATTTTGAAAAATGCTAACCTCTGATTATAGGGGTGTCTATGCGATATGCCTGGCGTTGAAAAGGCAAGGTAGCGTATAAAAACTCTTTGAATCGTTTCGATTCGCTGAAAAGACGCACTATAGACTGGGTTCCATGCGACACTTGCAAATTCGAGGTAGCTACGTACTAGTGAGTTGAAAAGAACCTTCTTAGTTTGGACACATCGGAAGCCTTTCGCGTTTCTTTTTAGGAATCCCAACATACGAGCCGCCTTTTCGACGATATTATCAGTGTGAGCGGTCAGTTTCAGCTTATAGTCCAACAAGACTTAAGGTGTAGCTTATGTGTTAGCATTTGTTAGGATTTAAAATCATTCCGTTGATTGCACACCAATCCATGGCTTTGTTTAAGTCAGATTGCAGGAGGTCAGCATCCCCGGGACTTTTGATCGTTCTCCTCAATTTGAGATCGTCAGCAAACATAGATACACTACTATTTCAATTTTTTTTCAAAAAATTGTCCTGCCAAGGAGTACCATCTTCTTAACTATTTTTGATAGATATATAGGGGGCCAGTATATTTTCGGTGGTGAGGTATTCTATCTTAGTGCAAAGATGTCAGTGTGAAATAACAAAAAAAAACTAAATCTAATATTATCAATTAGTCCTACTCACTGGGGTAATAAATAATGTCCTCCATGGAGGTCAAGGTCTAGGTCAAGGAGGTAAGTCTCATACTAGCAGGACAGAATTATAGTGCCCGAGTATTTGCGCAAACACAGGTGCACTATCTATTCCCTCACTCTTATAGTCCCATTGCACGGCAAACCGACACTACCAGAGATACTTAAGGCGCAGAACCAACGTCATTACGTACTTTCCGCGACACGAGGTTGAAACACCGTCAACTTTCTGATTCCAGGATACTACTGTAACTCTCTTGAAACAAATTCAATAACTAAGTTTTAGTCACCTGACCTGAAATTTGTGATCAACGAAGCCGGCCAAATCCTCCTATACATATTCTTATGTAATTTAGCACAGAAATTGATTATATCGTGGAATAATTAATCTATACATATAATAAATCTGTAGAAAAGTCGTGTCTGTAATTCTATTATTTTTTGAAAAAAACAAGTCCAGGGGACTAAACAAGCGGTACTGAAACCAAATTAGTAGTTTTTAGAATTTTTGTCTGTCTGTCTGTCTGTCTGTCTGTCTGTGTATTACGGATTCACTCATAAACTACAAGACGGATTTACATTAAATTTTGTAAGTGGGTAGTTAAGAACCCGGGGCAACTTAAAGGCTACTTTTTATCCGATTACGGAGCATCAAAAAAAGAAGGTTATGTTTTTTTACCTTTCTTTGGAGTTAATTTTATAATTTTCTAATAAGTGCATAAAATGTCATTAGTCTTAAGGTAGATTACATAAAGTTCTTAATTTGTAATGTATATTTATAACTGAAGCTTAATATACTATGTTAACCGTTGAAACTTAGTTTAAAACTTCACCGACTACGTTGTATGTTTATAAGACAGTGCCATCTATTATTAAAATGCAAAAAGTGTTACGTTTTCCCTTCAGGCACTAATAAATTATTTATTATACATATTAAAGTTTTATTTGTAATGTATATTTATAACTGAAGCTTAATATACTATGTTAACCGTTGAAACTTAGTTTAAAACTTCACCGACTACGTTGTATGTTTATAAGACAGTGCCATCTATTATTAAAATGCAAAAAGTGTTACGTTTTCCCTTCAGGCACTAATAAATTATTTATTATACATATTAAAGTTTTATTTGTAATGTATATTTATAACTGAAGCTTAATATACTATGTTAACCGTTGAAACTTAGTTTAAAACTTCACCGACTACGTTGTATGTTTATAAGACAGTGCCATCTATTATTAAAATGCAAAAAGTGTTACGTTTTCCCTTCAGGCACTAATAAATTATTTATTATACATATTAAAGTTTTATTAAAAAATATAAACATTTATAGAAGCTTTTTATATGTATGTATTGCTTTTAAATTTTGTCTATCGTTATGAAAATCATGTTTAATTTAAATACATAATAGCGCCATTTAAGAAAAAGTAATTTACAATGACGGCATCCACACCTTTTTCTGCCACCAGTGTGGCGCCACTTGTGAAGGTGAAGTGAGGTATAATATTTGACAGATATCAGGGCGGGGAAGTTAATTTGTTCGAAAAATGTAAAGGTTAATGTTTCTTTCTGTACTGTTGCTATATTTTATATTTTTAAAATTAAAAATACATAATATTCATGAAAGTAGAAAAATTTTAAAAAAGTTAAAAATGTGCAAAAAATTAAACAGCAAACCACTGACTCATTGTTTTGTGTATTAGTATAATACTCTAGAAACTGATAAACTTTTATTGAAAACTTACTTCTCCATTAAATGACATTGTGTAACAAAAAACTTTATCTCAGTGTCAACTAGCGACATCTGGTGAGCAGAAAATTATTAGCCCTCATTAAACAGTATGGTTCTCTAACTACGTCACTTCACGGCGACTATTTAAATTGTATATATTATTTAAATTGTATATATTATTTGTATAAATACATAATAAACAATTATAATTTTTAGTTAGGTCCTTTTCTATCCTATAATAGGAATATAACTATTTTTTTTTATGAAATATATATTGGTACAATGATAATTGTTTTATTTCACTATTTTCCGTTACGTTCTGTTAGATGTCATTGCTGAACATCTACCTCGCATAGGTAAGATTTTTCGTGAGTTTTCTTAATGACACATTATTTTATATCTACTCAATATGATAATTTGTAAAAGTTGTTATATTTGTGATAATACTATAATACTGTGTGCTAAGTTTTCTATTCTTTTACCTTTCATGACATCATATTACGGATTTACGGATTTCTGATATTTTGTCTTACGATACGGAATTAGTTGTTTGGATTTTTTAGACTGTAATAATATATTAAATTTAAATTAAATTAAATTGAATTAAATAATATTATTATTGTAGTCTAAGGTTAAGTGATCACTAAATTGTTACATACGTGATTACATTTTCGGATAAGGATTTTATTTTGTGTTTTGGTTGTTGAATAAATTTTAAATAATGCCGCAAAAAAAGAAAAGTAGTCTTTCTCAATACACTAGAAGGGCTAAAAGGATGAGACAAGTTCGATCGCAAGAGACAAATGAGGATCGTGAGCACCGTTTAGCTTACAATAGAGAACAAACTGCGGAATCTCGGGCATCAGAGTCCAGTTTTAATAATGAAACGCGCTTAGCTACAGATCGCGAACGTCACGCGTTGTCTCGCGCTTCGGAAACATTAACAAATTACTCTCAGCGTTTAAAAGTAGACCGTGAACGTCATATCGAGTCTCGAGCTTTAGAGACGTTTACGGAGCATTCAGAAAGGTTGACTGCAGATCGTGAACGTCATGCTGAAAGTCGCGCTTCAGAAACGTTTACGCAATATTCAGACCGCTTGACAGCAGACCGTGATCGTCATGCTGAGTTTCGCGCTTCGGAAACATTTACGGAGTGTTCAGAACGGTTGACTGCAGACCGTGAACGTCATGCTGAGTCTCGCGCTTCAGAAACGTTTACTCAATATTCGGAACGCTTGACTGCAGACCGTGAGCGTCATGCTGAGTCTCGCGCTTCAGAAACGTTTACTCAATATTCGGAACGCTTGACTGCAGATCGTGAGCGTCATGTCGAGTCTCGCGCTTCGGAAACATTTACGGAGTGTTCAGAACGGTTGACTGCAGACCGTGAAAGTCATGCTGAGTCTCGCGCTTCAGAAACGCTAACTCAATATTCGGAACGCTTGACTGCAGACCGGGAACGTCATGCAAGATCACGTGCTTCGGAATCATTTACTCAATATGAAGCGAGGTTAGCAGCAGATAAGAGAGCCGTTCGGTAAGTAGGACACATGAAACCCAGCAGGAGCATGACTTACGCTTAGAATTGGCAAGGGGATATTATGAAAATTCGCTTCAACACCGTAACGAACTTTTGTCTTTACAAAGGGAAAGAGTGCAAGCAATTAGGAGTAACGAGACAGAGAGTGAACGTGCAATTCGGTTACAAGCTGATCGTATTCGTACTTTTATAAATCGTTCACCCACCTTTACTCCGCCATCTATGGACAGAGAGAACTACACTGATCTCCCTTGGGTTGATAAAGAAAATAGTGGTTTTACCTACACTTTTAATATTGACTATAGTGAATTTGCCGAGATCGGAAGAATGATTCGCACTTGTAGTCATTGTCAATCACTTAAGTGGTCTAAAGAATCAAACGGGTTTTGCTGTTCAGCTGGCAAGGTACAATTGGAAATATTTCAAGAGCCCCCAGAACCTCTTAAATCGCTACTTAATGGGGACCATCCACATTCCAAGCAGTTTTTAGACAATATCCGTTCATACAATGGGGCATTCCAGATGACTTCTTTCGGGGCCAAGCAAGTGGTACATGGAACATTTATGCCTACTTTTAAAGTGCAGGGGCAAGTCTACCACTTAATTGGTTCGCTTTTGCCTGAGACAGAACCAAAGTTTTTACAAATATATTTCGTTTCTGATTACTATGAATAAGCCAATATAAGGAGGCAGAATTTCCCAAATTTAAACGCTAATGTTATCTCAGAGCTTCAGGGCATGCTTCATCAGGTCAACCCTTATGTATCCAATTTCAAAGCTGTACTAGAGTCGATCCCTCAAGATGAATACAATAATTATAAGTTTGTTATTAGCGCGGATAAGCGACCTTTAGTGCAACATTCCGGCCGTTATAATTCTCCATCCACCAATGAAGTGGCAGTTGTCCTGGTGGATCAGCAATGCGACAAGCGCGACATTATAGTACGCACGCGTGATGACCGCCTGCAACGAATTAGTGAGACTCATCGTTCTTACGACTCCTTACAATACCCACTTATTTACTGTCGCGGTGAAGATGGTTACAACTTTACGGTTTATCAAGTTGACCCCGCTACAGGAGCACCTCGGTTAGACAGAAAAAGTTTCGGCTCTGCAATTTTATTGTTATCTCATGCAAATAAGACAACGTCGTTTTGTATATTTACAACGATTTCGTGGCTTATTTAACCAGTTTATTGTTGATATGTACGCAAAAGTTGAAACAGAGCGTTTAGTATTCATTCGTACTCATCAGAGACAGTTGCGTGCCGAAAATTATGTGGATCTTCATGATGCAGTACAGGGAGATACACACATAGAAAATTTAGGACGTTTAGTTATATTGCCTTCCAGCTTTATCGGGAGTCCCCGAAATATGAATGAACGCGTTCAAGACTCATTCTGTTATGTTCGCAAGTATGGTAGGCCAGATCTTTTCATAACAATAACTACTAACCCTAAATGGATCGAGATTTCTCAAGAGCTGCTAGAAGGTCAAGCATCGTACGATCGACACGATTTAATTAGTCGAGTTTTTTATTTAAAGTTAAAGTTGTTAATCAACTTATTAACCAAGCAAAACGTTTTTGGCGCTACGTCATGCTATACATACAACGTGGAATGGCAAAAAAGAGGGCTGCCCCACGCTCACATTCTTCTATGGTTATTACAAAAAATTCGTCCTAATGACGTTGATAATATAATAAGTGCAGAATTACCAAATCCCACAAATGATCCTATTTTACACCAAATTGTTAAAACACAGATGATACACGGGCCTTGCTGTGCATTAAATAATAATTCTCCGTGCATGAAGGATGGACAATGTACGAAAAAATATCCAAGACCCCTTTTAAGAGAAACAATCACTGGTGAAGATGGTTATCCCAAATATCGGCGGCGTGCTCCACAGTATGGAGGATTCACCACAAAATTGAGAATGTTTGGACAAGATGTAGAAGTAGATAACAGGTGGGTAGTGCCGTACTCACCTGTGCTATCGAGAACTTTCCAAACCCATATAAACGTAGAAATGTGTAACAGTGTTGAATCAATTAAATACATTTTTAAGTATGTAAATAAAGGGACGGATCAAGCAACACTTGCAATGAGCAACGACAGATTTGACGAAATTACAAGATTTCAATCAGGGCGATACATAAGTTCTTCGGAGGCAGCATGGCGAATATTCAGTTTCCCAATAAGCGAGCGTAATCCCCCGGTAATGCATTTAGACGTTCACGTGGAAGGCGGACAACGCGTATATTTTCACCCAGACAATATTGTGGAGCAACTAGAAAATCCTAGACAAACAACTTTACTGGCGTTCTTTCGATTATGCGAATCTGACGATTTCGCAAGAACTTTGCTTTATGACGAAGTTCCAGCGTATTATACATACGATAAGCAACACAGGATTTTTAATCGTCGCCGACGTGGTATTCCTGTTGAAGGTTTTCCCAACCTTTTTAAAGAACATGTGCTCGGCAGAGTGTACACTGTACATCCCAATAACTCCGAATGTTTTTACGTACGTTTACTTTTGCATACAGTACGAGGACCCACATCATTTTTGGCTTTGAAAATGTTCAAAACACTCAATATCCTTCTTTTCAAGCTGCTTGCCGGGCTCGAGGGTTATTGGACGACGACCAGCACTGGGACAACACCCTCGCTGAAGCATCTGTTAGTGATAGCCCGCGTCGTTTACGGAATTTATTTGCGGTGTTGTTAGTATTTTGTGGCCTTTCAGATGCTAATCAACTTTGGGTTAAACACCAGAAAAGTTTAGCTGAAGATTACATTAATTTTGAACATGGTGAACTAAATCAAGAGATGCTCAATGATGTATTGAATCGTTGTTTGTGTGATATACAAAACACAGTTTTTTCAATTGGTGGTAATCCCTTAATACGCTATGGATTACCTGAACCAATCTTAAATGTCGAACAAACTAATCGAGAGTATGCAACGGAATCCAATTACGACTCAGAGGAACTGGCCCAAATTCTTCAAGTAGGTGTACCTATCATGACCCCCGAACAAAGAATTATTTTTGATCGTATATGTAACAGCGCTTTGAACACCTCTGGTGAAATGTTTTTTTTGGATGCCCCTGGCGGTACCGGTAAAACATTTCTTACGAAACTTATCCTTGCGCAAATACGTAGCCAGGGAAAAATTGCATTGGCCGTGGCATCGTCCGGAATTGCAGCTACCTTACTTCCAGGAGGCAAAACTGCACATTCCATGTTCAAAATACCCACACAATTAGACGTCACTGAAACCCCCGTTTGCGACATTTCACGTAATAGTGACATAGCTCGAGTACTTCGTGAGTGCACCTTAATTGTATGGGATGAATGTACAATGGCGCATCGCAAAGCAGTAGAAGCCGTCAATAGAACGCTGCAAGATATACGACACAACAATGAACTTATGGGCGGAGTCACTATGCTCTTCTGTGGAGATTTTCGGCAGACATTGCCAATAGTTACACGCGGGACAAGAGCCGATGAAATTAGCGCATGTTTAAAAAATTCAATTCTTTGGCCCCATATTACAAGGTTAAATCTCACCACAAACATGCGAGCGCAAAGAGGCGAGAACACAAATGCTCAAGATTTCTCACAGTTATTATTGAGTATTGGTGAAGGTAGGTTTCCTGAGGTTGATGGTAGAATAGATTTAATTAATAATTTGTGCAAAACAGTCCTTAACATTGAGGAACTTATTATATCTGTTTATGAAGATCTGGCTGGTATAGTAAACCAAGGAAACTCTTGGCTTTGTGAGCGCGCTATACTTACGCCTCGTAATGATCAAGCTGTAAGTATCAACATGACCATTTTAGAACGTATTGAAGGGGAGAATGTTACCTATACGTCAATAAATAGAGTAGTTGACCGTGAAGAAGTAACAGCATATCCTGTAGAGTTTTTGAATGCATTGACGGCGTCTGGGCTCCCTGCACATGAAATTAAACTTAAGGTAGGGATCCCCATAATTCTTTTAAGAAATTTAAGTCCACCAAAATTATGCAATGGTACTCGGCTCAAAGTAGTTGCTCTCCAGAGACATGTGGTTGAGGCAGAGATACTTACCGGTTGCGGTGCGGGTGAGAAAGTTTTTATTCCACGAATACCGATTATTCCGAATAACTTTCCGTTTCGTTTTAAACGGGTCCAACTGCCGGTGAGTGTTTGCTTTGCAATGACGATAAATAAGGCACAGGGTCAAACGCTAAGCAGAGTAGGCGTTGACCTTACGAACAGCTGCTTTTCACATGGGCAGCTCTATGTGGCAATGTCGCGTATCAGCGATCCCACTAATTTGTTTATTTTAGCACCACAAAACAAAACGGTGAACGTTGTTTATGAAGAGGTCCTTTGTTAACTGAATATATTTTTTTTACATTTTCTTTTACTTTTGAAGTTCTAACAAAACCGTGATTAAATAAATAAAACCATTAAATTAAATTGCATATTTATATCCCCTTTTTGACTCCTTGTTTTGTATTTATTAAGATTTTATTATTCGAAAACCAGAAATGGATTAGGTGGTAGATAGCTGGCATTAGGTTTTCTTAAAATGTGGATATTATCATAAAATGGCTAATCCTTGCCATCAAGTCATCCAAAATTAAAAGTAAAAAAATTTGATCTATTTTAGCCTTTTTCACGAAGCTAACGTTCAGGTAGGTATAAAATAATCTGCTTGATTATAATAAACATATAATTATATATACTCTGTTTGAAAATATAAAAGAATTGGAGAAAAGATTACATGCGAACGAAGTCGCGGGCACAGCTAGTATTAATAATAAACTATTACTGTTTTGTTTATACTCGTACCCAAGAAAGTGGATGGATAGCAATTAGTTATAAATAAAAAATATCTATGTTATATTATGGTTATAGTACGAATGGGTCATCTCGATCGGAGTAGGGAGGACTACGCTCTCACAAAATACCAGCATAAAATATGCTGTTGTATTTTGTT